TATATATATATATATATGTGTGTGTGTGTGTGTGTGTGTGTGTGTGTGTGTGTGTGTGTGTGTGTGTGTAAATGAAAGCTCAAGGCTCAATGAGACTAACCTGGATAAATAAAGGTTAAATGGAAACAAATGGTATAAAATATATACTGTAAAAAAAATTAAAAAACATAAATGTATACATATATATGTATACCATTTCAGTACAGCACGTTCGGTTCGGTCCATGTGTGTACCGTTTCGATTATTTTTTCATTAATTAAATTTTATTAACGACAGATTATGTGCCGTGGAACTAAAGTTCCTAAGCGTGTTTCAGCACGGTGCTATTATCTTGCAGCACGCGTAGCATTAGCAGCCTAGCATGTCGTTGTGGTCTCCTGTTTGGGAACATTATGTCTTTCTTGTTAAAAGACAAGTGAACCAATCCAAAGCTGTGTGTCGACGTTGTTTCACAGAGAGTGGATCTGCAGCAGCAACACGTCGAACTTGTTAACGCTTTTGAAACGACATCATCTGAACGTGAACGTCTCTTCTAGCAGCTTGGTTCGGTGGTGCACCGACCAGATCACCTCCAGCTAAGAATCTGTGATGACTGAACTCTGAACTTTTCCAGGGACCTGTCCCACCTGTAGGAGCAGGTCCAAGAAGAGGTTGTGAGTAATGAGGTCAAATACAGCCACACTGCAAAATCATCAAAGCTCCACCTCTTTATTCCTGCTCCCTGTTGTTAGTGAGAAGTTTTCTCCACCACAGGAGATATTCACTGCAACTAGATCTGAGCTTTTGATAGAAAATGTGGAATATATATATATACAGACCCTTTCCAAAAAATTAGAATATGATGGAAAAGTTGTTTAGCTTCCATAATTACATTCAAAAAGTTAATCTTTAATAGATGATAGATTCAGGGCCCACAGTTTAAACAATTTTAAGTATTTATTTGTTTATTTTTACATAATTTGGGCTTCCAGCTCATGAAACCCACAAAAACAGAATAAAAAAAAATAGAATATTGTGGAGAAATCAGCCCAAATGTTGCAGGACATGAATGTTTTAAACTGAGCGTGACACTAATCATCTACTAAACTCAAAGCACCTGCACACGTTTCCCCAGGTGTCATTAAATTGCTTCAGTTCAGTTCAATATGGTGAAGACTGCAGACAGAACATCTGTCCAGAAGACCATCATTGATGCCCTCCATAGGATGGGTAAGACACACAAGTTCATAGCTAAGGAGGCTGGCTGTTCACAGAGTGCTGTGTCCAAGCACATCAATGGAAAGTCTAGTGGAAGGACAACATGTGGCAGGAGAAGATCCACCAGCAACAGAGATGACCGTGGGCTTCAGTGGATCATCAAACAGAGAAGATCCAGAATCTGTCAGAGATCCAGGAAGAGTGGAATGAGTGGATCCTACAAAGCCTGGAGCTCTATAGAGTGAACCCAAATATCATAGAATTCTTGTCAAATGTTATGCAAACCTGGCGGACACAGATGAACCTGTTTTATTGTGAAGGAAACATACAGACTGAGGAGATTGAGCTCAAACAAGAGATTTTTCAAGGTGACTCGTTATCCCCATTATTGTTTTGTATTGCACTCATTCCACTCAGCAGCATGCTGAAACGAGAAAAAAGGCAAGGATACGAGGTAAAAAAAGGACAGCTAGTCAATCATCTGCTGTACATGGATGACTTCAAGGTCTTTGCCAGAGGAGATGCAGACCTGAATGCACAGCTAAATGTAGTTAAAAAGTTCAGCAATGATACACAAATGGAATTTGGCCTGGACAAGTGCCTTAAAGTGACCTTCTGCCAAGGCAAATTAGCCCCAGGCCTACATATCACTTTCAGTGACAAAGAAACTATCAAAAGCATGGAACTTGGAGGTATCTACAAGTACCTGGGTGTTGTTGAAGGTGATGGCATCCAGGATGAATCCATGAAAGCCAAAACAAAGAAGGAATACTATCAGCGCATCAGAATGATTCTCAAATCAGAGTTAAACTCAAAGAACAAGATCGCTGCAATCAACAGTTTAGCAGTGTTAGTGGTTGCCTATAGCTTTGGCATTTTCTCATGGCCCAAGTAGGACATCAAGAATATGGACTACAAGACCAGGATCTTGCTGACATTACATGGCCTGTTACACCCAAGAACAGATGTTGAGCACCTGCACATCTCACAATGCCATGGAGGACGTGGGCCGCTACAACTTGAAACTGCTGAAGAGGCAGCAATAGTAGGGTTGTGTAATTACCTGGAGCAGTCTGATAATCGGCTTGTCCAACTTCTTCAAGAGTTCGAGAAGACACTACTGCAATGCAAGTCCATCATTCAGAGAGGTCATGAGACAAAAAACAAGTATAATTTGCCAGTAGGATCAAACATAAATTCTACAAAAACCAAGCTGATGCTTAAGACCAGGATCATGACAACTCAAGTAGAAAGTTACAAGGAAAAGCCACTATATGGTCAGGTTGCTAATAATGTTGACAAGCATTATGTGGACAAAGAACTCACTCATGTCTGTCGAGCGCAGGACTCAAAGGAGAAATTGAAAGTTTAATTACTGCAGCACAGGACCAAGCCTTAAACACCCACTATCACCAAAAGAATGTGATGGGTATTTAGGTCAGCAGCGCATGCCGTGTGTGGGGGGGAGCAGAGGAGACCATTGGTCATATAGTTTCTGGCTGCAACATATTGGCCCCAAAAGAGTTCCTGGAAAGACACAACAAGGTTGGGTTGTAACTGCACTGGACATTGTGCCAGAGAATGGGTGTAGGTACAACTGACAAGTGGTATGAGCACAGGACTGAGAAAGTGGTTGACAATGGGGCTTATGTCGTCATGTGGGACATGACCATCCCTACTGATCTTACCATCTCTGCAAACCGGCCAGACATTGTGCTCCATGACAAGAATAACAAAATGTGTTACTTGCTTGATGTGACTATGCCAAATGACAATAACATCCTAAAGAAAGAAGCAGAGAAAATAAAGTACAAGGCCTGGAGATAGAAGTCCAATGCACGTGGAACACAAAAACTCAAGTTATACCAATTGTAATTGGAGCTTTAGGAACAATGAAGAAAGGATTTCAAGAGAAACCAGACACACTCCCACTCAGAGTCAATGCCAAAGAAATGCAAAGGGCTGTGCTGTTAAGGACCGTTCACATACTTCGACGAGTACTCAGCTGAATACCAGCCGAGTGCAGAGATTAAACCTGAGGGACCTGGTTGGCCCCTGGTCAATGATCCAGCAATAAATGAAGAAATGCTGAGAAACTACTACTACTACTACTACTACTACTACTACTACTACTACTACTACTAATAATAATAATAATAATAATAATAATAATAATAATAATAATTATTATTATAATAATAGTGATGATAATAACAACAAGAACAACAACAATAGTGATGATAATAATAATAATAATAATAATAATAATAATAATAATAATAGTGATGATAACAACAACAAAAATAACTGTGATAATGATAATAATAATAGTGATGATAATGACAATAATAGTAATAATAGTGATGATAACAACAACAACAACTGTGATAATAATAATAATAATAATAATAATAATAGTGATGATAACAACAACAACAATAATAATTGTGATAACAATAATAAAAATAGTGATATAATAATACTAGTGATAATAATAATAATAATAGTGATGATAATAATAATAATAATGATAATAATAATAATGATAATAATAATAGTGACAACAATAATAATAATAATAATAATAATAGTGATAATAATAATAATAATAATAATAATAATAATAATAATAATAATAATAATAATAGTAATAATAATAGTGATGATAACAACAACAATAATAATAGTGATAATAATTATAGTATTAATAATAGTGATGATAACAACACCAACAATTGTGATCATAATAACAATAATAATAATAATAATAATAATAATAGTGATGATAACAACAACAACAATAATAATTGTGATAACAATAATAAAAATAGTGATATAATAATAATAATAATAATAATACTAGTTATAATAATAATAACAACAACAACAACAACAACAACAACAACAACAACAACAACAACAACAATAATAATAATAATAATAATAATAATAATAGTTATAATAATAACAACAACAACAACAACAACAACAACAACAACAACAACAACAATAATAATAATAATAGTAATAATAATAATAATAATAATGATAAGCCAATGTCAAATGACATACTAATTTAGTTTTAACACAACCATTTAACATGTAAATTATTTATAATTCATACACTACAAAATCAACTAAATACAAAGCAAAAGGGCAAATGAGGGGAAAAAATCTACAAATACTAAAATGACTGGTTCCTGATTTTGTCCCCAGAGAAACGGCGACACAAACTGTGGCATGTGTTGAAAAATGCACGAGGAGAAAAATAAAGGTAGAGGAGGTGAAATAAGAACATGCTGCCAGTGGAGCCAAAAAGGCTGATGCAAAACTCACCATGGAGTTTTAATGGCAAAACATCCTGCCCCAAAGAGGTAGGGTCTTCATGAAAGGGGACACGGGGAGGGTGAGGAAGGTGGGGACACAGAGATAGACGGAAAAACCATTATTAACCTAAAACGCTTGCGCAAACACACTTTTCACATTACATACTCTTTGACGTGTCTGTTTAAGTGCACAACACATACGAGGCAGGAAACAGCACGTCTGTGCACTGAGATGGATTTGAAACGCTGCAGCTTGATGATTCATCTGCTCAAGCTGCTCTGTAAATCGTGATACCGTATATTTGGCAGATGCAGCATGGCCACAGACTT